GCTGATTAGGCCTAAGACTGGGGACTGCTTTGCCTAATCATATCGCTGCATCCAAATCATCTGTGTACATTTCTAATTACATAGTGGCACGCGGTGTCCTTGAGCACAGTGGCAGGTCTCCATTTCATCTCTGTGCTGTGTCTACCCCCCTTACTTGCCTTATTTTTTCCCTCTCTCCTCTCTTCCACCATCCTTATTTATTTATTTCCATCAGCCTTATCTTTGTTGTTGTTGTTTCGGTTGACTGTGCGCTGAGCAACAGCACTCATTTGCCCACCGATCTTCGTCCTTTGAACTCAGCATCGCAGGGCAAAGCCGACTGTCGGGGGCAGCGGGATCATCTTTGATGATCTGTTTATTGTCCGTCTCCAATTTGCAGGGGCTCACAATATAATATCCATTCCGGCATGCATAACACAAAGGATCAGTCATGGGTAAAGGACTACAGCAAAGAATATTGTTTGGGTTTGGATTATAAGGCTGGCACACAAACAGTGCAGAGCGGAGCTGGAACTTCCTTGGTTACTTTTGTCCTGCCAAGATCTCAATGTGAGAGTCCTTTGCTATTCTTCCCGAGATTGTCCATATGTCTTCTTAAAGAAACAATGGAGCTGCTTGGGGTATGCAGAAAAGCAATCTTTCAGCTGCTGCGCCTATACATCTGTGAACTCTGAATAGCCATGTTTTTTTTTCCTTTTTGAATATCCTTGATGAAGGAAGGCCATCTAAGTGTGCTCTAGGTTTTAGATGACCTTCCTATTGTTTATCTGTATGTCTCTCTCTACTGCAAGGTCTCGTCTTTTCTTTTCCTCGCCTCTTCTCTGCAGCGTACCTTGTTATTGCAGTCAGGAGGCATTGCAATGCCTTCGCTACAGTTGACAAAAGCCAGGCTTGAAGGTGAAGAGAGGGGACAACCTTTAACATGGGAATGCCATGTCCTCTTAGGCGCAACAATTAACTTTGCAACCTTGTGCAGTAGTTTAAGAGGCCTCCTCAGCACCTGTGCTGTGTGATTTCAGAAGTGTCATCCTGAAAAGACTAAAAAAACTATTATTATTACTGCTTTGTTTGGTTAGTGTGTTATCCCTAATATGTTTCCTTGGGCTATTTGCAACCTTTTGTCAGACATCCGACAAAATGAAGGCGGCGTGTGCAGTACAGATGATTGCATTTATCTTGCCTTTCTCACTGTGTTCTTATCACCCGTTAAGGTTGTCACAGCCATTGTTTAATACCAACCAGCTCACTGAATCAGTAGTAATTGCTGCTGCTGAATGCCTCTAAAGTATGACTTTCTTTTCATTGTATGCCACCAACAGTAACATCTATGTGCTGCTGCCTGGAGGCAAGTTCCTGAGATATTAGTTCTCCACTCTCAGAACTGTTAGTCACACTGACAGACACCTGAGGCGATATAAAATGTCCCTCAAAGCCATGAAAGAGGGAGACGGGCTACTTCTCTTCTTCAAAACCTGCGAGTGAGGAGCAAAGAGAGACAGAGGGGAGGGGAGAGTAACTTTCTAAAGCCGCACTTAAACCACTTCGCATATGGGGGCCATACCTTGGAGTCGACATGAAGGGGGAACCCATATAGCTACAAGGCCCAGTATCATAAATAACACAAGACTTCTCCTCTCCCGTCTCCGTCTCCTCCAGTTCACTGCTGGAGTGTTTCATATGGTAACTAGGTGTTCACTGTGTGGCCACATTGTTGCCCATCTTTCAAGTGGCTCAGAGGAGGAAACCTTGAGGTAGGGGAAGAGAAGGAATTTTTGATGAAAAAATGCATTATTCTGTTCTTTTGCCAGTCTCCATCCCCCCTTTCTCTGCCACTCACTGTGGGAGTGGAGTATTTATTACATAAACGGTAGGCGGAGGAGAGGAGAACTCGGCTGGAGGAAGAGGTAGTAATAGAGAGTAAGAAAGCTACAGGCTCTTTCACCTGTCAGGTTAAAATGTGGGTTGGATGGAGGAATGAGCATTTTTCCCTCCTCTACACTAACAGAGTAATTTGTGGCAATGTGGCTGTGGACATTGTAGATGCCCTCTATGCAGCGTAATCAGTGTCAAGCATGTGTTGGTATTGATCCAACAGGATTTTAACATTACCTGCCATAAAATGAAACGAATGCATTTATTAAAGGAGTACTTTGAGCCCAATGTGACTTATTAACACTGTGTAAATGATGGAGCATGTTTTTTCATGTGCTTTTTTCCTAAGCTCACCATCTGTCGCATCAACTTCAAGGGAATAATGCGTAATATTCAACAAAGGTGTCTTTCACTACTATCTGAGTTGTCGACGGATATATCTGAGTTGTTTGCGGATGGCTTTTGGTCCTGGTTTTCTTTTTCCCATGTGTAAGTGACCAAGTTATCTATCAGAGCGGCGTCCCTGGTGATATGAGAGAGCAAAAGACAAGCTGGAGGAGAATATTCACCAACCAAAGGGATATTTTACAGCCTGGTAACCCAAACCTTGTTCTTACAAATGGCTTATTACTAATCTATAAAGCAGCCATAAATGATTTATTGAGCATTAATAAAGCCATTAACAATATATAAACCCCTTAGTGCATCGTGGTACCCAAAGACTACATGCTGCTCTGCTTACCAGCATCTTGGCTCTCCAGTATCACCCCATGTCTCTGTACATGAGGATGATCTGGAATCCCAGGAATCCCAACCAAGTAAATTATTCAGCCGCTCCCATTATTTCCATAATTGCCAGCATTGTAGTGGTGTTTGTAATGTCATTAATAACAGGCGTTGGCGTATAATACGCTTAATGTTATTTATCTGTTGGCAGATAGCTTGATGCTGCTAATCCTCATTCATTTGCTGTGGATCAATGCAAATCCGCTAGCGTGAGTGAAATCCCCCTCCCCCTCCCAGAGCCGATGGTTCCTAATGTATTTTCCCACCATTAACCAACCATAATCCCTGCTAATCATCACTAATCCACATCTCCTGTGTGTGACGATACTTCCCTGATGGAGGCATCGTGTTCACGAGCGCCCGGGCACTGCTGAGGCTGGAGCTCCTCTTGCAAGTGCTGCCGAGGGCCCACTCAGCGTAGGAGAGCAGACTGCTGAGAAGGGAAGAGGAGGAGAGAAGGAAAGGGTGAGCTGTGGTGATTCGTAGGTCAAATAGCTGGGTTTTGCTGTTTTGTGATGAGTTGGGCTCATGTATTATTGATTTATCGGCATAATGGAGGTTGTGTCCCTCCATACGGCACAGAATAAAAATTGCATATCATCAAATGATAACAGTCGGTGCCAGTCACCACAATCTCTCTTGTTTGGTCAACTGTGGACTCCCTCTGTTTCCCCATCTATGTTCACTCTGTAGGCCTCTGTGTTCTGCATTGCATTTCAAACCATTTCTACTGGTCACCTCGAGGCCCTCCATGATCTGAGTACCCATCCTGATTCTGAGAGGTTCCATGGTTGACCCCTGACTGAGTTGTATTTCAGACTTTTTAAAAAGGGACCTGGTGTCTCTCTGCTTGGCTCACTACAGTGAAGAGGTGACTAGCAGGGGTGAGGTTACTTGTGCACCCACTTCCAACAGTGCTGTGCACCTCAACCCACATGAGGTGTATTCATTAGCTTAATATCTGACATGAAAAGGAAAACACAACTACAAACATGCAAAATGAAGCTGACAGTGACCATCATATGATTTGTATTGTTACTATGTTGTTGTTTTTCTTATTGCTCATTTCTATGAAACTTTAAGGTTAAGCTTTCATGGTGCAGTACTCCAAATTTGCCAGCAGGTGTCGCCTGTGCCCCGCTGTTCTCTGACGGTTGCCTTGCTCCCTGATGTTGGCCTCCTCTCCCTCAGTTTGACCACCTCAGCCAGTGCAAAGACACTTTTCCCCACTTGCATCACAGCAGCACAAAATCCAGTTTTTAAAAATGGTCTGTCTTCATATTGTCTCCTATTATTTATATGTTTTAAAACGCATGACACGGCTGCAGACAAATGACCGCACACAAATCCATCTTTAAAAAAATAATCGCATAACGCAAAATGAAGGAAAACGTTCCTTTATATTGAGTGTCAAAAGATGTGTAAATGGCATATAAATGCATGACAGTCCAGTAAATGTCTGTGTCCAAAATCCTACCTAACTTTTCTTTCAAATTTGAACGCTACTCCAAACTTTGTGGTGCGTATTTGCGTTTGACAACGGCACACTGTCACTGAGGATGCACCCTAATAAAATATAAAACTCCTTTTTAAAATGACTTCCCTTCCCTAATAATTAAAATAAAACCCTAAATGTAGACAAGTTTAACTTATCCAACAAACCTGGAATTGAAAATTTAAAGCGTCGTGGATGTGGATTTTTACTGCTGCTGCACAGATTTTCACTTTTCACGGTCATTTTTTTTTTTTTTTGGGGGGGGGGGAGTATAAAAAGATGTAAAGTATAAATGGAACTGTGAATGTGTTGGAAGGAATTAAAATGTATCAGCGCCTGTAATGAATCTCTCCATGGAACCTGACTGTATCCAGGTCTAATATGTAGATGTAGATGTGGAAACAATGCGCACAGCCGCTGTGGCTGCTTTTTACGCGGAACACTGAAGGGGCCAAACTTTAAGACTACATTTAATATATGATTTAGAGGAATCGAATATTTATAGGTGCTGGGTGGCGTTAAAATGTTGTCTGTGAATGTGGGCCTGCCTTTGCTCTTATTAAACTTTAGGGCCTGCCGTTTTTTCGTTCATCCTTTATGTGCTTTTCTCTCTATCTTTGGAAAAGAGGCTGATTTTTGCCCGCAGGCACCTCTGTCTCAGATCAAAGATTCGTCACAATTCGCCTTTTAAACGCTTAAAACATGACAAGTGATGATGGTTTATATAAAGAGAGCAGCTCAGTGTGATTGAGGAAGGCCTGGGCTCCGGATAAACACTTGGATAATACTGCCAATGATTATAAAAGTAATAATAATAAGCACTCAATGAAAAGACAATAATTCCGTATTGATATTGCACAATTTAATACTGCGATTATTACACAAAGATGTGAACAACGTCAGAGACTGTGTGAACTTAGCAGGGAATGCCTGAGGTAAAATACTGTTGTCTATTCCCTTTAACAGCACATGTACACAGCTTTTGATTTAAACGACCCCCTGTTACATAACGAACCACTGCTATTTAAAGTGAACACATGGCGTGCTGACCACTTCCCGATGCTCAGCACCCCGGACAGCATTAAACTTTATGATCATGTTTATCTTGTTTGCCTGCTGATGATGCCACAATCATAGACAGCAACAAAGAGGACGAGAGGGTTTTTTGGGATCTTAATGAAGACAAAAGACCATTTCTTGTATATATGTTTTATGTAAGTAATAAAATATTACTATAACATAAATATAAATGTGACTTTGCAGTCTACATTTAGCAATCAACATACAACCAATGTAGTAAACAAAAAGGAAAAACATACTGGAATCCACTGCAACATAACCATTAACAGAGCTAAACAAAAAAGCTCCAAACACGTTTAAGAAATAAATATATATATATAAATGGTCAGATTCATAAATGAAATCATATTAAAATATCTTCTTGGAATTAGTAAGTGTACAAAACTGCCCGGAAAGAAACAAAAACAAAACAATATCTCAGAACAAATACAAGTTTACATATTGGACATATTTACATATCGGAAATAATCCTGGCAACATTTTCTCTAAAATCTTTTTTTCTTTTTAACTATTATTTTTTCTTGAAAAACAAAAAACAAAGTTTCCCTCATTTTGTATTGAATAGCACTGCTGTAGGCTTTTGGACTGGTCCAACATTGAGAAATGACACACAACGCATGAGATTTTTCAGATTTCCTTTCAGGTCAGAAAAAAATAAATAGATCTAAAGTTAAGTCCCTTCATCGCTTCCCCTTTTTGGAATTATTATTATTATTTTCTTTTCTCTGAATCCAGCGTTTTAATATAATACAGTGGATTTGTGGGACAAAGGAAATAAAAAAAAAACGGTGAACCAGATTGAAACATCTAAAAAAACACAAGAGGAAAATAAAATCATGTACAGGCGTGATATTCCGACATGGGGCACTGAAGTTACCTGAGTTATTATTACTTTTCATTTTTTGACCAATCTCTCTTGAAATGTTTGGAATACAATAGGATTAACAGGCAGTAAGCAGTGTGAGCTGACAGCGCTCTGTGGTGATAACCAGGAACCTGTAAACATGGGATTTTTTCTGTGTGTGTGTGTGTGTGTGTGTTTAAACCTATGGAGATCAGCTCCACTCACAATTTTATCAACAAATATAAAATCGCAATAATAATATCAACGAAAGAATAAGTGCTCCATGCAAAGAAAACAATAATTTGAACAAAAGGAACCCCCNCCCCCCCAAAAAAAAATAATTTTTTTCCTTTTCTTTTTTTTTTTAATGTAATTTCCCTTTTAGCGTCTAGTGCTGTTTGCAAATTTCGACGTGGTCAGCTGCAAAGCTTTAAATGTTTTAAGGCATGCAGTCAGAACTTAAACGTCCTGTTGCATTGGACATTTTTTTCCTCTGAAACAAATCTGACCTTAATTATGTGTGTTTTCGGGTGCCATAATTTCCATCACTTTTCCCACCATCAACTCCCACTGAGTAAAGAGAAAAATGAGAGGCTGCTCTGATGAGTTACAGTACCTATAGCAAAAATAATGACAGAAATCATAGAGAGACACTGAAGTTAAAAGTATTTCCAAACCAAAAACATCACACTTAATATAACAAAGAAAGTATACACTAATATTCAGAAATCTGGTTAATCAGTTTAAGCCTGAAAAAGCAAAAATGTTCATTCAGTGTAGGCTACTCATCTCCAGTGTTGATCATTTTTCAGGCAGCCACCTCATTCTGGTGAGCGCCAACAGTTCATGGTACACCAGGAGGAGATGGCCTCAGTTGCCACATTTAATTACTCCCCCATTTGAAACAGCCATGGGATATCAAATTTACTTTATATGCCTTCTCCTCCATATAATTTTGGTAAATAAAGATCTTTGTTTCACTTTAAATGCGCACGGAATCAGTAATAGCGAAGATTTTTTTGTCTTTTTTTTCTTGATTTTTTTTTTTTTGTTTTTTTATCTTAACATTTTTCCCCTCTTGCCATCTATTTGCTGGACATGACGATCTCCGAAATACTAAGGGCAAAACTCATCTGTTCAACTTTTTTTCCATGTCTCTTTTTCTCTCAGGAAAACAAAAGCCAAACTTAAATACTGTAAACTCCATAGTCCCTTTTTCCCTTTTTCTATCCCCCCGCGGAAATGCTCGGATTGTTCATGAAAACAGTCACTGTACAGGACTCTGTAGTGTGCGGTGTAGAGGAGGGGTCTCTGCTTGGGAATATACGTCCTCCATATTCGGGTGAGGGACCCCAACTGGTGTCATTCTTTTCTCTTTTTGTCTTCTGTTGCAAAACCAAACACGGACAACCTCTTTTTCCAACTGCAGAGTGCCGGCTAAAGTGCTGATTTCATGAGCAGACGGCTTTGGGCATTTTAAGAAATGATTTTCCAGCGCCCCTTTCACCCCCACTTCAATGGAGGTCCTCTTCTTTCGTTTCCTGCCCTGCGCAGCAATCTTGTCCAAATTGGTGGGACTGCCAGTGTTTGAGTCTGTCTCCTCCAGCCACTTGTTTAGGAGCGGCTTAAGTTTGCACATGTTCTTGAAGCTGAGCTGCAGCGCCTCAAACCTGCAGATTGTGGTCTGAGAAAAGACGTTTCCATACAGGGTGCCTAAGGCCAAGCCCACGTCCGCCTGCGTAAAGCCCAGTTTGATCCGCCGCTGCTTGAACTGCTTGGCGAACTGCTCCAGATCGTCGGAGCTGGGTGCGTCCTCGTCCGAGTGGTCCTGGTGGTGGCTGAACGCCTGCTGGGGCGACTCCATCTGGTTGTCGTGGCTGCCCGAATCGTCGTGGAGCGGGTCCCGCATGCCATGGTGCAGGGAACCGGGCTGGGGACTCAGCATTGCGTTGAGGTTTGTGTATCCAGGCTGGGAGTAGACCAGCGACTGGTGCCCGTTTGATGCTGGGGACAGCGGGGATAAGTGGTGCGTCGTGGTTGGCGCCCACGAACCATGGTGGCTACTCTGCGTTTGCTGGTGCACCAGGTGAGATCTGTGGTGGAAGCCGCTGCTCAGGTCCTCCCGGGTCGCCTGCACGCTGGCTTTGTGCTCCTGCTGTCCGATGTGGGTGCCGCTGGACCAGTCGGTGTTGGAGGTGGGCAGCCACTGGTGGTGCGTCAGGCTCATCGGGTGTCCCGTGTTGGTCGCCGCAAGCCCTTGCAAGTACTCGTGGTGCATCATTTTCTGCACCTCTCTGTAGGTCGTCCCCTGATGCATCCTATCCGAATCCGGATGCATGAGCGGGTTAGACGGTAAGGAGTTATTCCTCGGAATATACTGAGCTGTTGTCGCCATGGCTCCTACTTCGAAAACTGACGAGCACTTCGGAGGTCTCCAGGCTTTAGAGCCAAAACGCAACAACCTGCTCTGGGAGGTCTTGGGGAAGAGCGAAGACACGCCTCCCTTCCGCTTGTATTGGCTCCTCTCCGATTCAAGCCCACTGGGGACATATTCAATAGGCGCAGGGTTTCAGACCATGGTACAGCGCATTTTTCGCACAGGATGGATAGAGCTCCGATCTTACATATGTTATAGAAAAACACATGTTCTATTTATTAAATGTCTCTTTGAGTTTTTAACAGGACTCATCTCATTTCCTATACCTGCGCGCAGATAGCCTCCTGCCTATCTTTTACATTTCTCCCTCCAATCCTCCACAAAGAAGGTGAACGGGGCTGCAGCAGCGGGGTTTGATTAGGTTTCCCTGGGTTTAGATCGGTTGTTTTGCAAATAACCACGTGGGGGAGTACGGGGATCTTTTTGAAGGGTTGCCCCCCCCCCCCCCCCCCCCCCCCCCCCCCCCCCCCCCCCCCCCCCCCCCCCCCCCCACACACATGCACTTACAAACACGCACCCGTGCACCTTTATAATAGGTCACTGATGATTATAGNCCCCCCCCCCCCCCCAATCCCACCTCCACCCCCCCACCCCAACATACACACATGCACTTACAAACACGCACCCGTGCACCTTTATAATAGGTCACTGATGATTATAGCGCTCCTCATTTTAAATAGATTATAAGGCGCGATGCTCCAGCTCCTGCAGCCACCCACACAACGAGAGGCGTGCAAATAAGCACTATGTGATGTATCTGTGAATGCTGCCTGTAAATGTGTGACAAATCTGAAAGCATTTGCTCTATTTCAAAGCCTCCGCGTATGTCATTTATTTGTATTGTCTCGGTAATTTTCAATGTTGTATGATCTCATCATCACCACCCACTTAGTTATGATAGGCCAAGATACTCTCCCTCTCTGTCACATACACACTCTTTCCTTCTTTCCACACACCCCCTCCACACACACACACACGCGCACGCACGCACACGCTCAGGTGACAGATATTATACACAGTTTACTCACTGTCTTATTTTGGGTTCCTGAACGCAGCAGTGCAGATGTTACTGAGGGTTAATGCCACATCTGATCATAATCTTTTATAATTTATCATAAAACAATCTAATTTGATTTTTACATGACATTATATCCTCTCTGACAAGCTGCTGCAGCTCTTCTAGATTTTCCCTGGAAATTTAGATTTAACGCGATTCAAAAAAACTAAATAAATATATTTTTCATATATATATATTTTTTTATATCATTTACCTCTCGAAGCATTTTACTAAGCAGCAACTTGGAGAGAGAAACCTTGTGTTTCTTCCTCCTGGCTCCCTCCTCACTACCTCTCCCGGTTGATCTGATTATTTTTCCCTTCACGTTTTGTCCCAATAGCAAATTACCAATTCTATGAATTGCAAAGCAGCCTCAGAGACGCTGAGGGGTAGAGAGAGGGGGGGAGATGCGAAGATTGAAAGGGATCTTTGCAAACACAATCACGTTCTTAAATGGAAATGCGGGGCTTTAAACAAATCTTACATCTCTCCCGTTCCATTCGCCTAAAACTCTGCAATCAGGCACATGTTCCACTCCTTCTAAAACAGGAGCTTTTTGGGAGGTTTTTCAGGCGCAACAGTCTCATTTTAATCATTTACCTGAAAGCAATGTTTTGCCTGTTTTTATCTATCTCCGCCGCGTTTGTTTGTTTGTTGTCATCTTCCCCCATGCGACTATTCTCTGTCTATTTACAGGACGACTCAACGCTAGTGTTCATTTTAATCCGGGACTACATGACTAAAAGGTAAGTTGTCTCCTTTCTGCTGTGACCGCGTCCTTGCTGTACTCTTGTCTCCTGCGTTAACAATGTAGCGTGTGTGTGTGTGGAAAATGTTGTCGGGGTCACAGGTGCTCGTCATCATCTCTTGAAAGGCGTGGTTTTTGTCCACCCATCCTTTATATATTTATTTGAGATGAGTGGGAGACAATCCGCGCGAGTTATCCGTGTGTCATTTTAGGGCGATTTATTAAGTGTCAGAGTCAGATTTGGAGATATATGGTGATGTTTTCAGTGCTGTGCAGCTTTTATCCGCGGTATTTGTGATATGTCTCATTTTAAGAAACACTTGTGATGATTAATATGTCACGTTTTGCAAACATTTTTTTTCCTTAAACAATAATTTGCATGCAATTTTACTATAAAACTGACTGAACTATAATACCATCGCCCCACATATACACATATTTTTTAAACAAAGCATTATTTATTATGATTAAAGTAGATAGAATAAATCCTATAAGATGTAAAAAAAAAATAAGACAATGCCTCTCCAACTCGTTAATGGGAAACCCCAGCCAGGAATTTCTTATCGTCAGTGTCTTCAACTCCTGGGAGACCTCAGTGGCTGTGTGTCACTGCTATAAGCGACCCGAGCTCCATGCAGCTCTCAGTTAATGAAGATGCGTTAGCCATTCACTCATTCTTGTCTCCCAGTCTATAAAAAGCAGTGGTTTCTCTGCCACACAGACCCAGTCTTGTGCTTTGCCATGCCAGCGAGGAGCTGCTGGAAAAAAAGAAAGATCCAGATGCTTTGGCCCTCTTTTGTAAAGAATATGGCCTTGTGTGCGCTGAGGTGCATTTTTGCCAGGACGCACTAGGTTTCCATGGTGCGCCCGATGAAAGGCATCACACAGAACTTAGTGGTGAATGACAGGCCGTACAGGAAAAGAGCGGCTGGAAATGAACACGATATGATGGATTTTTAAAAATATGAGGGAGGAGGGGGGAAAAAAGAAAGAGATTGCGACGCGCACTCAGAATGAACCGCAGGGATGAGTGTGGAGGAAGTTGGGTGACCCCTTTACCAGAAATAAGTGTGTGCACAAGTCTGCTCTTTGTATCACCCTGAAGACACATTTCTCTGATTTATTCCTCACTTTCTCTGCACTGTCTTTCCTGTCATGTCCTGACATAATGTGAACATGACAAAACTTAGACTCTAAGAATTATAACATGGACAGCACTATGAACACGATGCTCCTGCTGCATGGCCAAACATAACTTGCGTACTTTATTTTTTGGAGACCATGTTTAACTGGATGTAGGGAGTGTGTTTCCGTGCAGCTGTAATTGAAGGGTTTATTTATTAGAGTGAGGGGCCTTTTCTTTTTTCAGTCAGTCACGTGTTAATCTCCAGTCTGCTTAATATGCAGCCGTTATTGTGAGGACGCACCTCAGCCAATAGGACACATTTCAATTAAACAACTTTCCATCTTTGCAACACAGATGAGATGCGATAAATAAAGAGAATTGTGAAATTATGTCACAGCATTTCCTCTACACATGCATTGATAAAATAATGCATAAAATAAAATGGTGACATTAATGATAAAGCAATTAAAAATAACCCAAACTCCATTTTAAGACATGAATCAGACATTTTAAAAGCGAAAAGTACAATTTTTAGAGCAGGTTATTTTAGTCCTCAGCCCCCAAGGATATAAATATGCAAACACTTAATTTGGAAATAAACTTTAAACTAATCAGCGGGTTTTTATTTCCACAGGTGTACCTGAAATAACACGCTCACATTCTTAAAACGGCCTCGGCCTCATATTAGATGTTAAATACGAGTCTCCCTCAATTCCAGGGGGAACATTTCGACCTGCCACCAGCTATGTTTAGATTTTAAAATTCATGTGATGTACCCCCCCAACTACAGCGAGTAGAATAATATCCACCAACTCACTCAATCAGATAATTGTATTTCGTTTCCAGGTTTTTTTTTTGTTTTTTTTTTGATAGACATGCGTAATAGGCACTAAATATGCAATAGCAAAAAAAAAGAAAAAAAAACCCTGTTTGCCCATCCATTTTGAAGACCAAATCGTCCCGTGCTTTTCAGGTAACTTTTTTCCCTTTCTTTTTTGGCTAATGAACTTGGGCTATTCTGCCAGCATCCCCCTGAGAATGCGACAGGGGGAAACGCTTCTCTTGTGGTAAAAGGTGCGAGTTTCTTCCTCTATCTCTCGGCTAATTAGGCGGGGTCTGAACGCGCCAGAATGAATATTCATGAATGGCACCAGCGCGCAATTAGTAGTGGAGAGAGTTCCCAACTTCAATCCCCAAACAACGCAGCTTGCAGAGGAATGGGGGTACCGGTCCCCCCTACTCCATGTGTCTCTGCTTCTGCTCAAGCACTCTTTGAGCCCTCACTTATACTGTCAACTCTTATCAGCCAGTCTCCTGCTCCAACTTTCAAAGCAGCCACCAACATAAGTGATTTGTCCACTTCATGTAAATCTCCATGTTGGGAATAACAGCTAATCCAATTAGATTTCTCAATAACTTCTGAGGGGACCAAAACAGATATTTCATGTGTCAGTTGAGGGTTTAGTGTTCTTTGGAGTCACTTTATGACGAATGAAGAAAATCAAATACAAAATTTCTACATGTAGAAGATTTTAAAACATGTCACTGATGTGTGTCTAAGATGAGACTGAAGATCCACACAAGCGTGCACATGCAGAGACACAACCGCCTAATGACGCATATCATCCAACAACACACAATTTCATAAGCATCAAACCTCACTATTACAAATCCAGTGAATTGCCAATGGCCCCTGGTGCACCCATCTGCTGCCATCCCCTAAAGCCTCCCTCTACCTGCCTTGTGGTTTGTGTGTCACGCCGGTGTGAGCCTTAGCCCGTGTGGCTGACTGCCTGTCCGTCCGCCCACCGAGGACCCACAATCCTCTGCTTTGAATTCAAGGTGATTCTTATCCCCGACCCCCTCCTGGCCCAGAGCGTTTGCCTCTTGCCTCCATAAAGATGTGTTTATGTATGTATGTATGTGCAGAGGGGAACACGGGGAGGTTTTTCAAGGGTTGGGGGGAGATAAGCAGAGGAATTTGAGGCCGGTGAATATGGATGGGGTCCCTGCTTTTAGAGAGCACCGCTGATAGAGAGGTAAACAGCTCCTGGCAAGGAGAAGGAGGACGGGGGAGAGGTGGAGGGGGTGGTGGGGGGTGGTTGATGCATGCACTGGCATACATTTGAGGCCTAACTCCATATCCCTCTCTCTCTGTTATTCACTCACCATCTCTGAGGACTATCTGTCATTATTCCTTCACCTTATTCTGTTGTTATATTGTCGAGTTTTTTGCTTGTGGACAGTCTTGTGGATTTCGACAATGAGGTTCCATTATCAATACACGGAGAGCGAGGGTGTTGGCAGGCCGGATTTC